GTAATTGATACAGACCTCCAGTTTCAAAGAGGTTTTATTTTTTATTTATTGGCAGCTAGCCAGTATGGAGAACCGTCAGAAAGGTTTTATATTAAACTAAACCATTTGAAACAGATTATTCTGAACAGTGCAATACCATTCAAAACACAACAGCCAGCCTGGCCAGTTAGCTCAGTTGGTTAGAGCACAGCCTTGTAACACACAAGTCAAGGGCTTGGATCACCATACTGGCCAGACACCAAAAAAATAAAAATAAATTTCAAAAAGAAATAAACATGAAAGCCATACATAAGCAACTCTGGAAAAGCCATTTTACAACTGTTGAATTTGTAATAGACACTGACAATCCTTGAGAAAAAATTCATTTGAATTAGAAACACTTTGAGCAGCTGTCTATAGCTCTTATTACAAAAATCCACAGGTTCTATATATGTATCAAGGAACTATAACTATTTCTATTAAGCTAATACCTACAGAACAAGAAGTGTTTTGGCTTGGGAAAGCAACTAAGAAATGAAAATTTATTTTACCAGTTTGATATCCTTTTTGGCCCTATGAGAATCAGCCTTGGCCTGGTCATAGGTTAGTGCCTTACTTCGTGCACACCACATACTCAGATTGTGCAGAACCTAAAAGAATCACATATAAGACAATGTCAAGATGGGAAAATACTGCCTCTCCCCCTTCCCACAAGGTTGAAGGCATTAATTCAAAAAAATCTTTAACAGTCACATAATATACATTTAATTTACCTGTCTGATATCTTGATTGGCTCCTAAAATTATTTCATTCATAGCTGGAGGAGGAATCTTTAAACCCTCTTTAAATGCAATAGACATCATAGCACCCTGAAATTAACAAGTAGAAATCTTCAATGGTTTGTTTAAAAAACTCAAATAATCAGGTATTTTTTAAATGTTTATCAGGTACTTCTAAACTCTAACCCTTAAACAGGATAGTGTGATGGAAAAAAAAAATGCAATAATCATACCTTAATCTGTTCAACCCGAGGTCTTTGAAAACGAAGATCAAAACAATAATGCACCAAAGAGCGAATCTTGGGATGGTTTCTATCATTGCACATACAAATAATGGGAATTTTGGTATGTTTTATCAGGCTGATTAATTCCTGAAAGACAAATTTGCAACACAAAAATAATTATTTAAATAACAGCAAATACCACACAATGTATTTTAGGTTTTAAATCCTCTTCAGCAACATGTCTTAATTACCAAACTATCATTGTGTGGTAATTAAATATTTTTTT